AAATAAGTCAAATGTCCTGCTGGACCATGCCTGGCTTCTCTTGGAAGCATGGAGGAAATGTTCTCTGTGTTGACCCTCTTCTTCGTAGACTGGATACTGGTTCATGTTCATCTGGTGGGGTCTCCTTGGCCTCCTTGATCAAGGAGACAGGTGACCCACCACAATTATAGGACATTTTGGGAGATGCTCCATAGTCCCCTGGAACTAGTCAACCTAGGAAGGCAAGGCGCAAAAAGTGTCCTTTATGTCCCTCTGACCAAATTATTATAGGCCTCAAAGTATGTCTGTTAAACATCCAAGAAGGTTAGTTCCACCAGTTTGGTATTTTTAATTACTGTGTGTCATGTAGATAAATCTTGGGCAAAGACCAGTTGTTTTCAGATAAACCTTACCTAGCCATATATTTCTTGATCTGCTATGTATAATTTCTCAGTAGGTTGTAGGAGTAATATGGTTCTCTCTGGTTTTCAAAACTAGCTAGGCATTGTTTATCTCTCGCATTGCCTCACCCCTCCATCATGGTTTTCCCACTTAAGGTCCCCCATTTCCACCCTTTCTCCCTTACTAATATCTTTCTCCTATGGTCTTACCTCTCTTGAGCTCTTTCTTTCCCTTTATCCCCTAGGTTCCTTGTATACCCTTCCCTCCCCCCTCTCTTAAACTAACCCAATTTTTATCCATATCTCCCTTATTAAAGCCTGTTTCCTACTGCTCTCTTTCAAGTTCTTTCTTTTCCTTTACCTCCCTGTTCCCTTTCCATTATCCTGGTTCCTGTAGTTATGTCTGGTTACATACTCATTTATCAGGGTCTGGTTCCAAGATCCACATATAAGAGGGAGACCATATGTCAATTTTTTTTCTGAGTCTGTGTTACTTCACTTAGTATAACAGTATCTAGTTCCATACATTTACCTGCAAATTTCTTGATTTCATCTTTCTTTACCTCTGAGTAAAACTCCATCATATAAACGAACCACATTTTCATTATCCGCTTGTCAGTTGAGGGACACTTAGGTTGCTTCTTAGCTTCTTAGCTATTGTGAAAAAAGCAGCAACAAACATGGCTGTACAAATGTCTCTGCAATAGGATGAGTTCTTTGGGTATATGCCAAGGAGTGGTATAACTGGATCAAATGGTAGGTTCATTTGTAGTTTTTTAAGAGTTCTCCACACTGCTTTTCATAGAGGTTGAACAAGTTTGCAGCCCCACCAGCAGTGGATGAGTGTTCCCCTTTCCCCATATCCTCTCCAACATTTGGTATCATTTGTTCTCTTGATCTTAGCCAGTCTGACTGGGGTAAGATGACTGGT